TAGCTTCTGCCGTTAGCTTAACAGCCATTATCCAATACACAACTGGCACAGAAACATTATATCTAAAAACTCATAACACAAGAAAAACACTTGTAAAGTTCATAAAAACAAGAAATGTTTACCTATGAAAGCTAATTAATAAACCAAAATAAGAAGATGTAGCTAAATATCTGTGTTAACAAAAACGACAGTTAGCACAGCTTTTTAGCTTCTGCCGTTAGCTTAACAGCCATTCTCTAATACGCCGCAGATGCACGGAAACATTATATCAAACTACTCATAAAACTAAAAAATGCTTCTAAAGTTACCAAAATAATAAATAATTATCTATACAATTGTCTTAACAATATACAGGATACAAATATATATTGTTTCAATCAGCATTACCTGTAAATAGGGGAGAAAGAATCACGAGAGTGGTTTTAAGTTGCTGTGTCTCGTTCTCCCTCCTCTGCAGTTTAATGGAAGGAAAAATTACCTGAAATCTTTTTGTGAGTCTCTTAAGTTGGTTAAAAGTAAATCTGCTCAACAACTTGATACTTTGATTAATCATTTTAATTTCATATTAACCTCTATATTTGTTCCATGTTTATGTAATTATCATTATATATTTTTTTTGTATATTTTTTTAATATATATAACTCAACCTGTGAAAGCTAATTGATGCTTTGTATTAAATTTTTTGCCTTGGGTTGTTTGTAAATGGTTGTTCATAAAAATAAAAAAAAGTTTAATGGAAAGAGGGGAGAGCACCCCCTAGTGGTGAATGTGGTACTACCAGTCAAGGCTTAGCTCATTGCTGGTGTATGGATTACAATTTCCTTAAATAAAGTAATACAAACATTAAATCAACATGAAAAATACATTTGTAACAATTGTAAATTGTTTATAGGCTTATATGAAATATGAATTAATATTTATTCTAAACCATTTTAATGTTATGAAATCATATGAATAATAGTTCTTCAACCTATCACACTCTTCCCAACTCTAAAAATGCAGTCTCAACATTATACCAAGTACTTTGCAGTCTTTGTCCCTACTTTAACAGAAGAGCAAACCATATTCCTCGATTCTGTGGACTTTAACACCTGCTTCACCACAGTCCATGACTAAAGGCAGTCCATATGCAGGTCTTTACAAAACAGTTTATGGTTATACAGTAGTTCCTTGCTACTTATCGGTTCGTTTATCGCAGACTAGCTCTATAGCGGTTTTTCAAAATAAGAATGGACATGACACACAATTGGCTGATTGATGGATGAGCCGCACGATTGGCATGGAATTTTTATTTAAAATAAATTATTTTAAATTATTTAGCACCTGCTGCACATTTGTGCAGCCCAGAGATGCAGAAAAAGATTCCTCCTGCACCATTGTGCAGCCCATAAAGCAGGATAAGTTTCCTCCTGCAGCTTAACAGCTGATCAGCTGTTTTCCATACAGAGCAAGAAAGTGGGCGTGGCCACGAACGCTTGCAGGTGGCTGAGAGCAGCGTGGCAGAGAGAGGGAAATTATGACATGCTGTGCTCCTTTTGAGCGTTTAGAGTTTAGAAACATTGTTTAGAATATTGCAAGAGTGTGGTTTAAAACACACACACACACATATATATATATAT